GGTTGTGCCTCCTGCCTGTTCTGCACCTTCTCTTCCATCCATGGATGACTCTCCCTAATCCCAGCAGAGCACCCTCCAGACCCCCACCCATCCTCTCCCACCTCCATCCCACACTTCCAGGCTCAGTCATGATCCTGCTCTCCTCTCAATCCCCCCTTCCAAAAAACTTCCAGCAGTGGGAGCAGGACCCTGAGGGCTCAGTGCCCAAGCCCAGTCAGTCCTGCTCATGGTGGGATGGAGGTTGTTCTATCATGTCCACACACCCAGCTGGAAAACATCACTATTCCCAACAGTTCCTTTGATTTCCTGTGTTCCCACAGGCTCCCAAACCTTTGGAAGAGAAAACCAACCACAGTGAAACAAGCAACGACTCCGTGGGGCTGAAGAGAAAAGGGAGCAACATCAGGAAGGAGGAGAAGAAACCTCACCTGGATCCTTGAGGAGGGTTTGTTCCTGGTGTGGTGCTGCCTTGGTTTTTACCCTCCTTCCTCCTTCCACAGGGATTCTGGAATTTTGTGACTATTCCAGAGCTGCCCCAGGCTTTGCTTTTTTATTTCCTAGTTTTTCAGTTGTGTGTGTGGGTTTTTTTGGGGGGGTGAAAAGTTCCATTCTATAAATAAAATCTCAAGCTCTAATTTATATATATTTAATTATTATTTTCTGCTCTCTCATGTGGAGTTCTGGGAATATTTGAAGCAAAGGAAAACTTGGAAGTTCTGGGTCAGCTTCAGCTTTCCAGCTTTATCCCAGAGAAATGGGAACTGCCCCAAGTGCTTCAGTTTCAATTTCACTGTCCCTGGAGCAGAAGCATTAGGAGCAGTTTGAGGAAATTCCTCTCTGCTGGAGGCCTCATTTTCCTTGGAATATCAAGGCTTCTAAAGGATAAAGTCTCTCATTAAAGACCAAGACTCTGAAGACTCCAAACTCTTCCATTCCAGGAGCTCCTTGGATCATTTAGGTCCTGTCTTGGCTCTGTTGTGTCCCCAGGAGGTGACCAGTGAAAAGCACCAGCCAGGAGGGGTGAGGAAAACCCCAGAAGTTTGGGAGTGGGAAGAGAGGAGGGGTCAGGGAGGGTGAGGAGCTGGAGGGGGTTGGGAGGAAGGAGGAGGAGAAGGTCTTAGCCCTGCCAGGCTGGGTCCTGCTCAGTCCAAGCTGTAATAAAGGCAGAAGGCAAAGAACATGGCAAAGATCTGCAGGGAGAGGAGGGGGAGCAGCTCAGTCCCCCCTGCAGGAACCCGGAGCCCAAACCCTCCCCCAGGGCCTGGGAGGTGACAGAGCCCTGGGACCCCAGAGGGCTGCTGGGGTCTCCTTGGCTGGAGACATCCCAACTCCTCTGGCTGTGCTCCTGTGGGATCTGCTGTGGGTGACCCTGCTCTACAGAGGGTTGGACCTCCAGAGGTCCCTTCCAACCCCCAGCTCTGGGTGACTCTGCTGCTGTGCAGAGGACACCACACTGGACCTTCTGCTGCCCAGAGAGCCCTCCACACCTCCCTGGAGGAGCAAAATCACCCCCCACCAGCAGAAGGTTGGTTTCCTGGGTGCAACCATGAGAGCTGGAGGCTTGGGTGGGTCCACCCTGAGCCCACCTGTGGTCCCTTCACCCCCAGATCCTGCCAGGTGACCCTGTCCCCTCCAGCCCTGCTCAGCACCTCAATGCCCAGCACGGCCAAGCTGCAGGTCCCAGGGACTGAGCTGTACTTCTGCAGGGTCCTGCTCAAG